AAAGACATTGGAAAAAATAAAAAGTGTGATTAAGGAGGAAATTAATAACATGTTAAATTCGGGTAATGCTTGCTACCATTTACCACAGAACCTTTTGACTTCTCTGCTACATAAGGAGATAAAAATGAAAATACACAAATTTGATTTTGCTGTGCTTTTGTATGGGTCTTTAACATTAAGGGAAGAAGTTAGACTGAGGATATTTGAGAACAGGGTGCCGAGGAGAATATTTGGACCGAAGATGGATGAAATGGTAGGAAGTTGGAGAAAATTGCGTAATGAGGAGCTTAATAACTTGTAATCATCGCCAAGTATAATAAGAGTGGCCAAGTCAAGGAGACTGAGATTGGCAGGGCATGAAGGACGCTTGGGGAGAAGAGGAATGCATGCACGGTTTTGGTGGGAATGCCAGAATGAAAGAGATCACGTTGAAGAAAGAGACGTAGGTGGGAGGGTAATATTGAGTTGGATCTTATAGGGTGACTGGTTTGATCTGGCTCAGGATATGGACAGCTGGAGGGATCAGGTAAAGACGGTAATGAAGCTTCGGTTTCCATAAGAAAAAAGAACTCCGTGGATTGAGTCCGCAAGCGAACTATACCGACCGAGCAAAGTTAGTGCCAACTTCAGCGGATAGAGGGTGTCGCGTGCTCAGCGCAGTGAATCCCCAACGGCCGTTAATTTCTGTTTCCAGACCGGAGCCGCTATTTATTTGAAATAGCTCCTCAATTATCTAATTATCCTCACGAGGTTGAGTGAACCCCGTTCCAGGCCCACTACTTCTCAGAAAATCTGGTAGCGCCGGGAATCGAACCCGTACCTCAGGATCTGTAGGTAGGAACTCTGATCACTAGACCACAGAGGCGGTCTCGCGTTCCATAATATGTTGAGAAATTCTTGAGTACCGGGACGACTGTTGTTTTCTCAAAAATGACTCAACTCCGTGGTGTTACTTAGCTTTTCATTCAGCGCTTATTTTAGCCCACAGTTTGCCGTTAAAAGAATGTATCCTGCCTGCATACACTTCTTGATTTGGTGTTTATATTTTAGTATGTAGATGCGTTGCTGACCGCCTCCGTGGTCAGAATTCCTGCCTACAGATTGGAATGTCTCGGGTTCAATTCCCGGCGCTACCTGATTTTCCGAGAAGTATTGGGTCTGGAACGGGGCCCACTCAGCCTCGTGAGGATAAATGATGGGCTATTTCAAGGAAATCGGGGCTCCGGTGTGGGAAACCGAGATTAACGACCGTGGGCATCCGTTGCGCTGACCACGTGACAGATGCGTTGCTAGGTAACGACCGCGAGATAAATAGTTATACAGTAGCCGTTGATAGGCTGTAGTCGAGTAGCGATCACGTGGGCATCTCAACAAACGCGAACGCAACAGAGGAACGGTGTTTTCTGTTCGATCCGTGTCGAGTTGTTATACGCAGGACAGTTAGTGCAATGAGTAGTAGTGTACCAGTCGCAGAGTGTGTGAATTAGCGTTAGCCTTGCAGTGGTAGTTAGAGCTCTTAAGTGTTCAGTAAATTCAGTTACCAATCCCAGCCCCGTCTGTAATCAGTCAATATGCGTAAAGATATGTAATAAATAGTTGATTATGCTAATGGTCAGAGTTATTTTCTGGTTTATCCAATAGCGTTGTCTTATAACCGAATATTTAGCTGTAAAATGTTGTAGTGACTGCTGCATTCATGTATAAATGCCGAAGGTTTTGTTTCTCTGAGTTATACGGTTACTGGTCATGGCTTATTTGTAAAAAATGTCCATCATGTTAACATAACCTTACACAGAGAAATTTTTATTAAAGCTGTTATCGTGTTCACGGCTTTACGCTTCACCGCAACCGGACAATCGCCGGCCGCTAAGCGCACGGGAGTTTTGTCGATGGCTCAGCATGTTTGACGGCCGATGACATTTTCAGGGAAGGAAAATAATTAACTAGTACGAGTATACCTCAACACACTATTAGGTTACAAGGCGGAAAGTGCAGTTCATGCCTTTGAGTTTGTATACGATTTCTCAGCAGTAGGCAGTAGTTATCAGCCCCATGAGCCGTTTGTTCCCAGTTAACATTTAGCAGCAGTTTGGCACGACATGGTTCGTTATACTTCAGAGCAGCGTACATTTCTGTATGACACCTATTTCACGGATCTGCTGGAAAGTGTCGGCGAAAATTTCTTATTAAATTTCATGATGAAAGAGTTCCAAGCAGGCAAACAATTCATAATTTGGAGAATAAGCTTAAAACAACGGGACTCTTTTAATAGGCAAGAAAACAAAACACAAGTGTCGAATGCTGACTGAGAAGAGATCCTTGTAACGTTTTCTTCTGGTGTTGTATGAAGGACAAAGTTTGCAGCAGTAAACCTCGAACGGAAGGAGGCCTGAAAGAACAGTTCGTAGGGAAATTTCAAATATTCCTGCAGAGAATCGTCAGAAGGTAAATCAGAACCTCTTCCGCCGGTTCGAGAATTGTCGTATGTGTAGAGGAACAGCATTTTCGACACGACCTGTGATTTGTGAACAAAGGCAAGAACTTCCCTTTATTCCAAATATTATCGGCATGGTGATTCATTGGCAAAATTCACGTGCGCTCCGCGGCAGGAAATGCGCTCGTCGCGGTGAACGCGGAGCCGTGAAAGCGTCAAGTTCATTAAAAATCATTCTGTATATGAAGTTTTGTAACTTTGTTGTGGCGTTTACATTTTTCATGGTACATTACTGAGCGTGTACCACTTTGGAAAGGAAATTTCGGGGTGCAATCTTGTAATGGCCATTTCATGAGATTTGGCTTATTATTTTATAAGTGGCGTACTTTGAGGTTGTGGATAGCTTACCGTATCAAAATTGTACCCAGAAGTGAAGCGCTGATTGGTGTAGTTATTAATTTGCGTCTTTAGATCTCCATTGTTCTTTCTAGAACGTGATGTATTTATTATGGGGGGAAAGCCCATTTGATTTCGGCATTGAGAAGCTATATTTCATGCTACGTAGATTTGAGGATGTACAGGAGCCAAAATCATGGACAAAAGTAGCTTAAATTCCAATTTAACGGGTATCTGCATTTTTCTTGTTCTAAATTCAGTCCGAACTGACTTAAATGATAAGCCCTGAATTTTAATGTGTATTTTTATTGCATCACTTTTTTATACATTTGTCATTTATGTCACACAATAAGATTTCTGAGAGTGAATACTCTGTTAATCAACCAGACAAAAGAGTGTTTAATTTAAATTTAATTATTTGTATGCAAAGTAGTAAATGACGTTTTATTATAAGTACAATGGTTTTTATATATTATATTTATGAAGGCTGTGATGTCCTTTGAGAAGAATAAAACTTGAGAGAACTGTAGTTTTCCATAAGTTGGCTGCCTTGCGCAGTTCAGTGGTCCCACATGAGCGGACCAACGCCACAGCTAATGCTTAGTTGGGGCGTTGTACAGTTGTAGGGCAATCATAGCTACATTTCTGTTTGTTACATTATGTTTTTCACGCATCACGATGCCAAAAGCAACTTACTGTTGGAAACGAAGAATAATGACTAAAATTACATACGAGAAACGACTCGCTCGACAGGCAAGTGGAGAGAAACTCGCTGTAGTTTTCTGCTACGCTACTTTGTAACTGTTTTCAACGTTGCCGCCCTTCTCAAGTGAATAGCTTTGCAAATCGAATAAAAGTCGAAGTTTCAATACATTATTATTAATTTCTCCTGAACGGTGTGGTGAGTGTAAATTTAGTTTTGCAGCCTTATTCCTAAAGGCTGAAATTATAAGTATTTTTAACTTGTACCATTGTTTTTACATGTTTTCATCTATAATGTAGGTGACAAACTTCCATCAGTTCGCGTGTAAATTTAGTGAAAATTAAAAGTGCAGTAACTCTTGGGACAGGTGAGTAAATTTAGTCCACTTTTTTTAGAGATTTAAGAACGAAAGAACGATCTCGAAAATTTGTATTCATTTTGTACCATTTTGAAATATATCCTGTACATTCTTAAGATGCTCACAGGACTGTCATGACTTGTATCTTATGGAATATATCTGCGTGTAGTCCGGTTGTAGCCGACATTTCGGAAAAATTTTGCCTCCATCTTCGGGACAGAAGAGGAAAAGAATCAAAATACCACATAAAGCGTACAGCAGGCAGGGTTCTGCTAGTTGACTTTTTCTTTGATCTCCAAGATGAATGTATAAATGAGTGTATAAGGGGTGAACCTTCTCGGCCCTTGCACCGCGACCTACAGTGATCTATTGTGCCTTGCTTATCACCAAGATGGAGGCTCTATGTTCATCTGAAACGTGGTTGACTGTCGCCCGACTAGAAGACGGTATTATGCCGCGGAACTCTTGCAAAGTATGAAGCAGCTGATGTATTGAACAGTATGGCCCTCTGGGGTCTAGTGTCAGTCACTTCGGAGAGGAACATGCCACCTCCATCGCCGGGCTCGAAAAGTATGCGAAACAGGGAACCAGTAGAAACAAGCGGAATAAATGTATGGAGGTGATAGATAATGTTCTGGTTTCTCCGAGCTTCACGGCGTTACAACCGAGAAAACTACTCTTCGTAGTCGCCGCTGTGAAAACTTCAATTCCAACTGATGTACTTAATAAGAATGAATATTTTTGTACTGTCCCTTACCCAGAAGATCTCTGATTTTCGCTGTGTACGTAGTAGAAAGAAATGAATTGGGATTTACAATT